CCCCAAAACCCCAAAACCCCAAAACCCCAAAACCCCAAAACCCCTCATTGTAAAAATCAAGTTTAATAAGCATAAACAAATATTAATATATTATTAATTTACATATTTAGACTATCTCTATAATTTCTTAAGCTCATCTTCTCTTATTCTAGATCTCTCTGACTTTCTGAAGTTCTGCAATTCTATCCACAATCTCATTCTTAACTCTTTGTTCAATATCTTTCCGGCCCCCAATAGTTATTACTTCATCAAGATATTACTAGCGTTCTTCGATTTCCTCTACAATAGAATCAAATAGCTCTTCCAACTCTTGATCTTGCTCATCTCTGATCTCATCATGTGTTTTAGGTCTTAAGTTTAGCAAATCACCAGGGGGTTTACCATACTTCTCCTGATAATGCTGCAGTGCTTTCTAGGCAATATTCATGTTGTACTTCTTTTTCTTCTTTGGATTTATTTCAGGCAGTAATTAAGCCTGCTTTTTCTCAGCAATAATCCTATCAATTTCCTCTCTATCTTTGAACTGAAATCTCTCCTGCAAGTCATTGATCATAAACTTTCGATTAACTCCTCTTTTTCCTGGTGCTACCAGAGGTTTGTTAAGTTCTTTCTACATTTCATACTAGATTTCATCTGCACCCTTACGCTTTGGTACGAAGTCGATTGGATGATATTTCTTCCTGGGTTTTTGCTTTATCTCTGGATACTCTATTTGAGCTTGCTAAGGGCATTTCTTCTCTTCCTTCGGTTATTCTACTCTAGGCTTAGTTTTAACTGGAGGATAATAAATCTTTGGCTTCTCTTTGGCAGAGTACATTGAGAAGAGCATTTTCCCGACATCAGATTCTCGACCGAATTGCTTCCACAATTCACCATTTTAAGGATTATTGCTTTAATTAGAGTTCTAATCGTATTGAGAGTTAATGTCCTAGTTTTGATCTTCTGAATAATCTTCCATTTAAATTACTATGAAATTGCCAATATTATAACAACATTTAATACTTTGGGGTTTTGGGGTTTTGGGGTTTTGGGG